TCAGAGTTGATCGGAGCTTAGACACCAATTTATTGGCCTCATTATTTTACAGATGAGCAAACTGAGGCCCGCTGAGGAAAACTGCCTTACCCAATTTCAGAGAGAGAAAGAGAAAGAAAGGGAGAGAGGCCGAGTTGAGACCTGAAGCCTCATTGCAGGAATGCCTATCCAGGGCTCTTTTCACCTTACCTGGCCCTCCTTAGGAATAATCTTAAGACACCAGCATTTCTCAAGTCCTTTAATGTGCCTGGGAAGTTTGTTCTCTTAGGTATGTCAAAAATTCCTCTGTCAAATTATATTTACACTGTCAATGAAGTAGGGAATAGCACAGAATTGAATTTAGTAGAGGTTAAACTGTCAATGAAAAGTATCATTCAAAGGGGATTAACCCTCTTTGCTCTCTGCTGTCAGGAAATCATCTCCGTTACCCTAGAACATTAGTTCAAAATAATCGGCACACCTATAGGGACACCTAGGCCTGCCAAATTTCCATAAGGTCCATCTACCCACTGAATTTATAGGGAGATCTTCCCAACTTTGGAACTGTGAATGAGTTTGCCTGGACGTGAGACAGCCTGTGTTTCTGCTTTACCATATGCTGCTCATTTTGTAGTTTCATATCCTCTTTCCAATTTGGCCTGATTCTCTGAGGAAAAGACAAAGCAAAGACTCAGAGTAGCAAACTAGGCACTTCAGTGATTGTCCCAGTCCTCAGCAACCCTACAGTCATATGCTTCAAAGAGAACATTCCTCCCTGCCCCAACCCACAGCAATCTCCCCCTCTTCTCAACAAGGTATTGCATTTCCAGTTCTTACACTTGTGCTGGCACAGATTGTAAGCTGCCTCATGCTGCTTCCTGGTTTGCATGGGTGCTATGCTCCATGGGCACTGGAATCTTACAGGCCTGGGTTCTAGTCCTGACTCTGCAACTAGCTGGTTGTGTGGCTTTGGAAAGTTACTTAACCTCTCTGAACCTCAGTTCCCTCATTTGTTAAATGAGGAGAATTATGCCACCTATATCATAAGGTTGGGAAGATGACACAGTGCAACAGGTGTCTAATACAGTCCCTAACATTTAATAAAATTTCATAAAAAGTATCTGTTTAGTATTATCAATATTATGGACCAGACAGCAGAAGCTGAAACCTATACTTTTCTCATGCTGAACACAGCAGATGCTCCATAAATACCCCCTGATGAATTCTGGTCTAGGCTCCATTTGGCAGTAGGTTCACCATTCTAAGCATCATGTAAAAACAGTTCCTATTCCCAAGTTCCCTTTTGCCCAGATTTGTTCTTCCAATAACTATCTCAGTGTAAAGGCCCACACTTTCCTGCCACTGTTAACACCTGTTACCTTGCATCTCAGATAAAGTTCTCATCTGACAGATTCCAAGAACTAGTTGTTCAGGCGAAGAAAACTTTATGGCGATGAATCCAGCACAAACCTTATGTAACTAGGATGCCAACAAGCTGAGGGACACTGAAAAACGCCTGTCCCCCAAAAGAAACAAAGCAACAACAGAGAAAGCAGAAAGCGAGAGAATGAGATGTGCCTAGAATGCTCTTGTTTGTCAAGACCCTTAAAGCTGATGAAAATTCTTGTATTTAAAGTATTTCTAGGAGCTGGCTGGTTGGCTCAGTTGGTTAGAGTGCAGTGTTGTAACAACGAGGCCAATGGTTTGGGTCATAACAGCCAGCCTCCAAAATAACAAATAAAATATTCCTAAAGAGACCTGAATACAGTTAAACTCCATTTTTAGCTGGGAATCTGAATTAACATTTACAGTTGAATTTTAACTAAAATTACAGTAGGCGTCCCTTTAAACGAGTGTATACACAATATTGACATTGTTTACTAATAATATTTATTGACTTACAAATGATGACAGGCAAGCTTCCAACCTTTTTTTTTTTTTTTGAAACAAGACTATTAGAAATCTCTACCTGGAAGGGTCTGAAATTCCTGGCAGGTCATAAAGAGTTAAGGAATTTCCCAGCTTCTCTAAATGCAGAGAATATCCTAGTGGACTTTTGCTGAATAAAACAAACAATTCTTTCTCTTGTCCCTATTGCAGATTATTGGTTTATTCCCTGCATTTTGTGTTAAAACCCCAAAAGAAATAAAAACATCTGCTGAAATTATTCTATGTTACTGCCCCAGAAGGGTGAGAGGAGAACTCAGCAACAATGTAGTGGAGGGAATGCAGCAGTTCCTGGAACAGCAGGCGGTTCCCTGGCTTTAGCCCTGCTCCGGCATCCTCAGCAGCTTACCTTGCCCAGGTCAACCCCCCTCACTGGCTTTGGATCTCTTCAGATGTCAAATGCTTTCTATGCGCCCCTCCAAGTCTGAGATCCCATCAGGTTACCAGGAGTATGAAGATGAGCTGAAAGTTCTCATCTGACAGATTCCAAGAACTAGTTGTTCAGGCGAAGAAAACTTTATGGCGATGAATCCAGCACAAACCTTATGTAACTAGGATGCCAACAAGCTGAGGGACACTGAAAAACGCCTGTCCCCCAAAAGAAACAAAGCAACAACAGAGAAAGCAGAAAGCGAGAGAATGAGATGTGCCTAGAATGCTCTTGTTTGTCAAGACCCTTAAAGCTGATGAAAATTCTTGTATTTAAAGTATTTCTAGGAGCTGGCTGGTTGGCTCAGTTGGTTAGAGTGCAGTGTTGTAACAACGAGGCCAATGGTTTGGGTCATAACAGCCAGCCTCCAAAATAACAAATAAAATATTCCTAAAGAGACCTGAATACAGTTAAACTCCATTTTTAGCTGGGAATCTGAATTAACATTTACAGTTGAATTTTAACTAAAATTACAGTAGGCGTCCCTTTAAACGAGTGTATACACAATATTGACATTGTTTACTAATAATATTTATTGACTTACAAATGATGACAGGCAAGCTTCCAACCTTTTTTTTTTTTTTTGAAACAAGACTATTAGAAATCTCTACCTGGAAGGGTCTGAAATTCCTGGCAGGTCATAAAGAGTTAAGGAATTTCCCAGCTTCTCTAAATGCAGAGAATATCCTAGTGGACTTTTGCTGAATAAAACAAACAATTCTTTCTCTTGTCCCTATTGCAGATTATTGGTTTATTCCCTGCATTTTGTGTTAAAACCCCAAAAGAAATAAAAACATCTGCTGAAATTATTCTATGTTACTGCCCCAGAAGGGTGAGAGGAGAACTCAGCAACAATGTAGTGGAGGGAATGCAGCAGTTCCTGGAACAGCAGGCGGTTCCCTGGCTTTAGCCCTGCTCCGGCATCCTCAGCAGCTTACCTTGGCCAGGTCAACCCCCCTCACTGGCTTTGGATCTCTTCAGATGTCAAATGCTTTCTATGCGCCCCTCCAAGTCTGAGATCCCATCAGGTTACCAGGAGTATGAAGATGAGCTGGAGAGGTTGCCCAAATTTCTGGGTATAGGGCCCAGAGCAGTAGGAAGATAATGTGATAATAGGTATGAAAACCCTTGGAGAGAAAGTAAAAGCACCGAATGTCACCCACTCTCCAATTTGCTACAGCACATTTCGAAAACACGGGCGCCTGACATACTTCTGAACTCAGTGGCTTGCCCAGATGTTCCATCCCCGAACTGACAGGAAGCAGTGAAGGCCAATGCTTTTCTGGTTGGGGACCTTGGCTGGGACAGAAGGGAAGAGAGGAGTGGAGTCAGCTTCACGAGCGAGTGAAATGGCAATGAACCCTGAGGGCTGATCCTCCTCAGCCTGGCGCTGCCAAGGAGGATGAGCCGCTCAGCCAAACCTGGGCCAAGCGCTGGCTCAGACACACAGGCAAAAATAGAAAGGGGGTGGGAGAAGAAATGTGTTTACTTTTGTGATTTCCCCTCCTGGACCTCTCAACAATATTATAATCTCTCCACAAACAGGCAGTAACGGCTCAGCCCACGGCCTCACCTCCATTGACAAGCCCTCCCAAACAATGCATGAACAGACCTGAAGCCTTTCCTACCCGCATCTCCTGCTCACTCTCAGGGCGCTGGCTGGAAAGCAAGTTTATGAGGCAGCATGATGGAGCAGAAAGCGTGCTATGCTAGCCTAGGGTCCCTCACTGAGTGAGTGAACAGTGAAAATCCCTCTCTGAGCCCCTGCAAAATAAAGTGCTTGCATGAGACAGAATCTAAAAATCTGTTTAGAGTTTTAAAGTTTATGACAACAGCAATCAACCAGGGGCTATTTCTCTCTTCAAAGGGTATCTGGCAACATCCACAGGCATTTTGGGTAGTCATCCCTTGGGGGTGCTAGTGGCATCTAATAGACAGAGAGATGCTTCTAAATATCCCACAATGCATGGGGACAGCCTCCACAGCAAAGAGTTACCTGGTCCAAAATGTTAACAGAGCTGAGACTGAGAAACCTTGGCTTATACTGAAGCGAGGAGAGAGTCAAAAGGAGAGGAAAAAAGAGACAGAAGTAAAGAAGGAGGAGGGGTTAAAATCCTCTTTCTAGGTCATGAGGTATTCATCAGTTATGTGTTTTCCAGCTCTTCTCCCTGTGACCAATGCCCTTTTATTTTCCCTGGGAATAATGGGGCCATGTTTGAGTAGAGTAGCTTTTTCACAAGAACATCTTCCCTATGCTTAAAATACCAAGCCCTAATGCAGTACAAAGAGCTCCACTATAAGACATGGCAAAGATATAAATATAAGCAGTTATTAAACAAGTAGAACTGGAAGGTGGGTGGTGGGGGCACATGGAGGGACAAAACATATACTCCATTTCTATGAGTCAGGGCTTACTAGCCGAGCTACGCTGAGAGCAGGCAGAACTGACTTGGGGCACAAGTGTTAGGAGAGATACAGGTTTGCAGCAGCAGATTCAAAGGGAAATGAAAGGGTTAAGCAATCAGTGCATGCCATTCTTGAATCATTCTGTATTAAGTCACTGGGCAGTTATTACAAATAGTTACCTGCGGTTTCCAGTGGGGGAGGCAAGGACACTCCAGTCAAGGGGTTTTGGAGAGACAGGTGCAATGAAGTCGTGGTCAAACAATTTATTTACTGTAAACTTTAGACTTTGCTCAGGAAAACAACTGAAGCTGCCCCTCAAATCCCTGCCTACAACACCCCATTTGAGCCAATAAGAAGAGCGGGGGAGAGTCCTTGTTCACAGCTGAAAGGTCCGAGATAGTTAAGTTCCTTAAGTCCGAAGGTGCAGGAAGGAAAATCTCCTTCAGATACAAACTACCAGCAGCAATATATTACACCTAATACTTGACTAATGAGGTAGATACACAAAAAAGTCATCAAAACATAGCAGACCCAGGTCCTCTAGGACAAAAGCCCTTCGGACATATACTCACAAGTTCCATGCAAAGAGGAACTGAACTGTACAAAAACAAATAATCACTCAAATAGGTTTTCTCTTTTTTTACAGCTTAAAAAAATAATTTAAAAAAAAATGGCAGAAGGATACCCCTCCTCCTGCATATCTCTATACAATTTTATTCTGAATTTATTACACTCAAGTTAAATAGTCTGTTTAGTGTTCTGTTGGGGTGGGGGGATCTTAAAAAGTAGAAAAACTGCATTACAGCAGTGAGTCATTTGTACTACAGTTCCTCCCTTGTGAATCAATGCTATCGTTAGGCACAGTACCTTGACAGTTCACAAAGTCTTCCATGCCTGGGGGGTCCTCACACATCAGTTTGCTTTCTTTCTCCTGCTCCAGTTGATATCCACTCTGCTCCCCAGTGTGGTCACTTTTTCCATTGCTGTTGTTAGAGTATCCATTCCCATAGGCCTTCAAAGAAGACCGGCGCAGGCACAGAAGCTCCTGGAAGGCAATCCTGAAATCTGGGCTCCGACAGTAGATAAGGGGATTGAAACCAGAATTGACATAGCCCACCCAGTTTAGGAAGATGTAAACTTCCTTAGGGATGAGGTTATCCTTGATCACATGCACAATATTGACGATGAAGAAGGGCAGCCAGCAGAGGGTGAAAGTGCCCATGATGATGCCTAATGTCTTGATGGCTTTGTGTTCCTTCAAACAGAACTTGGAGGCCCTGCGAAGTCCATGCCCATGCCCGCTCCGCCCATCCTGCTCCACCTGGCTGAGATTTGGGGCATGGAAGCGGCCCTCAGATTTGTCAATCTTCTGGAGCTGCCTTTTGGCCACCAGGAAGACCCTGGAGTAGACGAAGACCATGACCACCAGGGGCAAGTAGAAGGACACGATGGAGGAAGCAATAGCATAGGGTTGGTTCGTGAAGAAGTCACAGCAGGTCTCCTTGGCATAGCACTTGATGGCTTCCGGGTGGGTGGCCCGGTACCAGTGCATCTGGATGGGCAAGAAGGAAGTAAGGCCTGACACTATCCACACCATCAAAATGACAACCCGGGCCTTATTCTTGGTCAGCAGCCTCTGGTACTTGAAGGGTGACGTGATGGCCAAGTAGCGATCCACTGCGATCACGCACAGGGTCTCAATGCTGGCCGTGACGCACAACACATCAATGGAAGTCCAAAACTCGCACCAGAAGTTGCCAAAAGTCCACATTTTCATGAGGATGTGGCTGGCTCCAAAGGGCACCACCGCCAGGCCCATGACCAGGTCAGCACAGGCCAGCGAAGTGATGAAGTAGTTGGTGACCGTCTGCAGACGCTCGAACTTGGCGATGGCTGTGATGACCAGCACGTTACCGAACACGATGGCCAGGACAATGAGAGACATGAAGATGCCCATGCCCACCACCCACGCCTCGTCCCGTTCCTGCGTGCCGTCGTGGTCCGGAGCGTGGCTCCCGTTGGGCGCCAGGAAGAAGACGCTGCTGTTGCCGGGTTGCCCCATGGCCCGCAGGCTGGCAGGTGAGCGCACCGGCTGCCGCAGGCGCCTCAGCGGGCGGACCTCCGGCGGGGCGCCGCGGGCCGCGAGCGGACGCCTGGAAGCCTCATTCACCGGCCGGTGGGGGGGTGTGGTGGGTGCGGCGGGCGCGCGTCCTGCACACTCAGCCTGGGGGGTGCTCTGGGCTCGCCGTGTCCGCCAGCTCCAGCCTGCGCTCTGGAGAAGCCGCCTCGGAGTGCCGGCTGCCCGTTATGTGCACAGGACTTTAGGGGCACTGCCCTCCCCGTGACGTGCGGGAACTTTCGGCCAATGGCGCGCCCGCAGCCCCGAAGGGGCGAGGCACACTGCCCTCCCCTCACCCGCCCCCTCTTGGGGCTGGCCCGGGCGAGGCCCAGCTGCTCCCCGGAGAGGCGGGCCACCACTCCCTCCCAGCTACCCGGGCTGCCCCCAGAGGGCTAAAGCCGAGGCTGGCGTGCTTACCAGCCAACCCGGGAGCTGTGGGCCCTTCTGTGGCTGCTACCTGTTTGCCTTGGGCGCCTGTGTGGCCTGAGGTCTCAGGGCAGAGGGCAGCACACGGGCACTCCCTCACATTAGGAAACAGAGACAAGAGAGTGCCCAATGAGACACGCACATACAGGCACAAATGCACCCCGACAGACATGCTCAGACTTATACGCAGCCACAGCCACAGCCACTGAGACACACCCGCCCAGCGCACCGACATGCACGCGCGCGCTCACACAGAAGCCAGAAGCCGACAGGCACAAAGTCACCCCCGTCCGACAAAGAGACGCGCCTAGAAACAAAAGCACAGACACCCAGAAGCACAAAGGCATGGACGCACACACAAACACTCAGTTGGGGCATTCAGGGCGACACAGACACGGATGTTCCCATCCAGGTACTCACAAATCCCCCTCACCCAAGCACTCACAAATGACACTCCCTCTTTCCTCCCCCAAAAGACACCTGGTATATTCCCTTTCAAACATTTGGCAAGACCACAGGAGGTGACTTAAACAGCTGCCAATTTCCTCAGCACACTGGCTGTCGACTGCTTTTGGTGTCCTCTGGGAATTTGCAGGCATTACCCTCTGAATTTCATTTGGAGCTGGGGTATGCGTGCATGTATTTTGGGATGGAGAGAGAAGGTTGTATGCTTTTCTTTCTAATTCTTGGGAGTGTGGCATCACTCGCGTGTTATCTGGAAATGCACTGAAAATGGGATAATCTCTCAAACACAATTTCTTTGGTAACCTCATTGCAATAACAACCAAAAATCCTTTCATCTGCTGGATAGTTTATCCATTGGGTTGAGCCGTATGAAATTGCCGCAGTTTGGCCACCTCTAACCTACAAAAATGGCAACTTCATCTGGTTCAGAGTATTAAGAATATGTTAATATTAAAAATATTTTGAAACTGCAGAAAGCACAAGATAATTCTTCCTTTAACAATAAAAAAAGTTAGACCAAGCCTTAGAACTAAGTCCTTTGTCCATGAAATACTATCTTTTGCATCATATGACTACTGCTAAAAAGAAATTAATATTCAGGGTTTAATTTCATATGAAATAGTGGTGTCTTTGAAAAACTGAAAGTATTTCATGCAGTGTAACCAAACATACTTTGCAGATTACATAACAACATAACAATGGCTAACATTTATGGAACATTCTGCTATGTGCTTTTCATGCATTAGTCCATTTCATCCTTCTCACAGACCCATAGAGTAGGGGGAACTATTTTTAGCTTAATTCACACAGGGGGCTCAAAGAAGAAAATAGCTTAGCCAAGGGCAATGGCCAGGCAGTGCCAGAACTTGGACTTGGACCCAGGTTTGTCTGACTTTAAGACCCAGCTTTTAATCTTTTCAATGTACTGTATCATTACCTGCAGAAAGGAGTAAGGGATAGAGAAGACACATTACAACTGGAATTGAAGTACCCAGGTTCCAGACTTACCTGACTTGGAATTTTCTATTTCACTTTCCTTAGGCAAATCAGAAAGAGGTATCTTAATTTCCTCCATCTCTGAAGGGAGAATAATAAAGTCACTTTCATTGGGGTGAGTGAGAATCAATGATGTAAATGTGGAAGTGTTTTTGCACATATAAATGTCACACAAATATGGATTGTAAGTGAAGTTTATATAAATCACTCAGTAGTTTAGAACATATTATTAGTCTTCTCTACCGTGAGAATCAATGATGTAAATGTGGAAGTGTTTTTGCACATATAAATGTCACACAAATATGGGTTGTAAGTGAAGTTTATATAAATCACTCAGTAGTTTAGAACATATTATTAGTCTTCTCTACGAGAACAATAAAATACTTAGGACAAAAGTAAGTTGGGCGTATACTCTAGAAGTAAAGCTCAGAAACAAAATTTAACCTACATGCCCTGTAACTTCCTTCAGTAGCAGTAGCTTGCCCTTTTGCAAGACAGATGCCTTAAAAAACACAATATTTTCCATGCAAGCCACAAGTATTAATTAAGGATCTATTATGTTCACATAGTTTTCAAAATATACCCACCTCATATTTATGTTTTCCAAAATTGGCTCTGGTATGATACATTTTAGGAAGAGGCAGTGTTTGTTATGCAACAACGTTTCTTTAAATACACATTTACCCTGAATTGTGGAACTAACCCATTTAAAACCCCCTTCCTGTTTGTGAAACTATGGAATAAATAAGCATATTGTTTAACCTTCCCATAACAAAAAAAGAACAAAGAAAATCCTTTTAGGACAAACATTAATTTAATTAATCATTTATTTAGATATACGTATTAGTCACTTAAAAGTTTAAGTGAATATTTTGGGAAACAACATTTTAAAAAAAACTCACAAACACTAAATCAAGAAGGGAAACTGCTTATGCCAACTAGAAAGTTCCAGGCCTTTGCCCCCATGCCTTGATAAATGGACAAGCGCTCTCTCTCTACTGCATCACCAAGCTGGTAGGAATTTCAAGATGTTGTCTTTTTCACCAAGACTCTTTTCTCCTGACCTCCTTTTAGAATTCTAGGATTAGAGAAAGTTAAAATGGGAAAGAGTTGAGTACATCATTGAATTTATTCCCCTCAGTTTGCAAATGAGGAAACTGAAGTGAGGAAATGAGAGGTGTCCAGCGCCAGGTGGGAGGGAAAATTAGGAGTTCAGGTCTGCCTTATGGCCTTGCAAATTTTCACTGCCCAACAGTGTTGTTGCGTTTCCAAGCAGGAGACTTTGACTAGCACTGCTTCCTGTGCTCGTGGCCTTAGAGTTAATGCTTCAGTTGAACTAGAAACTTCTTAATAAAATAAATGTACCTTTATCTGATGTAAGAAAAAGCAGGCTGTTTTATGGTGATCGATAGCATCTAATTAAATATTTTGTCAATCCCTTAAGACCCTGATTTATCATTTCCTGCCTGCCAAATGGGGAAACACGCGCACTCACACACACACACACACACACACACCCACAAACATATTTTGATTTACCTGATGAATGTTGGAATAGAGTAAACTTTTGTGGTGCCAGAGAATGCTGTCCCACTGACAGCTGGATGGCTTAGGAAAATCTTATCCTGTGTCTTAGCTTAGAAAAGAGTCCTTCCATCTTTATGATACTTGAGCAGAGAAACATCCTTAGATTTCTTTCTAAATGATGGTTCATAATGTCTGTCTTTAATATCTCTGTACAGCATTATCTCATTAAATTTAGATGAAATGAAATTGAATGCATGTAAAGTGCTTATCATGCTGTCTTAGAAAAGAGATAGCTGTTACTGTTTTCTTATTTTTGAATGAAAATGTGTATATGGAATGCATGCTGTTCCTATCAGATTATAGTCTGAAAGGACCCTTTGAGCATGGATAATGGGTAATTTATTTTTTATGTGAATTGCCATGAAAAATAATAAAAAAAGGAACAAAACTTGGTTCCTTAGAAGAATGATTCTGAAGATTACCATTATCATTGAGTTATTTAACTAGATGGGATGTCAGTGGTAATTTATTTTTTATGTGAATTGCCATGAAAAATAATAAAAAAAGGAACAAAACTTGGTTCCTGAGAAGAATGATTCTGAAGACTACCATTATCATTGAGTTATTTAACTAGATGGGATGTCAGTGGTTTTTGAATGAAGCTTCAACAGTCTAGTCAGCTCCTTACACAATCCATCTCTAGTGAGGGCAAGCTCACCAGCCCCTCTCATAGGTGTATTTCTCTGACTGTCCAGATAGTGAACTGAAATCTATTTCCTTACGACTTCTACCCATGGTTCTTAAGTCTGCCCCCTTGAGGCTACTCAAAACAAGTCTTCTCTCTCCTCCCTAAGACTATACTTGAGCTTTTGGGAGAACCCCTTAAAGTTCTCCTGAGCCTTCTGCACTTCAGTTTAAATTTTCCTTGTACCCTTGGGTCTAGAGTCCCCTTTACCATTATGGAAGTTCTCTTTTATTCATGCTTGGGTTTCTTGATGTCTAAACTTAACTTCAATATCTGGAAAGATCCTAGAACAAGTTGTCAAACAATCCATTTGCAATCACCTTGGCAACCATAAAGTAGAGCAGAGCAACCAGCAAAGCTTTCCAAATAGCTGATTATACCAGATGAATTTAATTTCCTGCTATGCTAGAGTTTTATGAGAGACATGCTAATAAATTCTCTACATCTCAGGGGCACCGAACAAAGAGAGATGGCATTAAATTAAAGCAGGGGAGACTTCAGTTGGCCATACAAAGAACTCCTTGGTCTGAAGAGAATCAATCAGTCAGAGGAGCTACACTCTAGCAGCTTTTGCCAATTGGGATTTTGCAAGAGTTATTTGAGTGATTATTATTCCTAATTGTCTTAAGGATGATATATAGTTATGACTCTTCTAGGGACATAAGAGAGAAATTAAGTCACTACACGAAATATAATGAATGTCTTAGAGCACAGTGCTTAATTCTGTTGCTGCATCTAAGAGGGATTGCTTGAACAATCCCTATTGGTACAGAAATGAACAGTGTGAGATGATGAATGTATGTGATGTGATGTCTGCATGTGATGGAAGCAGTTTGGTGCAGAAGAGAGAGCACACATGAGGGACCAGGATACCTAGGTTCTAGTCCTTAAATAAGTCACCTTTTTTCTTTGAACCTCAATCTTCATCTGTCAAATGATAGGTTGGGCTTGGTGACATCCGAGGGCCTTTCTATCCTAAACTAAATAAGCCCATAATGGGAAGGAAGCACCTTGAGGGCCATTGAGGAT